AAAGTGCAACAAACAATACTACAAATTAAGTGAAGCTTAATATGCAACGAGTTGCATATTGATGAAACACCACATCAATTATTTAGTTCACTCTCATTTATGTACAAGACAAGACTAAATGTTGGTTAACATGGCAAGAGGTGAAGTATAAGTAAACTACACATTTAGGCAATTTAAATGATTTTAGGCGGTCTTTTAAACTATCCCCACAGCCCAGATAATCTGAGCAGACGAGCTTGTCCGCCAAATCACTGAGCTCGTTCAAGAACACACTTTTCATATAACTAGTCAATGTGTACGTGCAATGCACGTTAATTTGGAAGTATAGTAAGTGCATGCGGATGTTAAGTAGGATATTATTTGTGTGTTATTATGTGATTAGCACTATATTTGGCATTAAACTAACGGCACGCTAAACATGTTGAGTGCTTGACATTGAAGCAGTCTAGGTCGTTGGATTGACATGATTTGATGGCCAAGATTAATTGGATCTGCCCCTTTGGGTCTTTTTATATTGGTGTAGAGGTGTAGATAAAAAGAGAGACGAAGAAATCTAAACTAATTTGGTGTAGTGCTGACTGGTAGACGCATCAATGTCAGCATTAGTATTATTAACACCAATGTGTGATGCAAAAATTGGCTACAGCTAGTGTCTAATGTCTAATGAAGAGTTTGCAAAAATATTCTCATGACAAATAGACAGGGCAAAAGCTTAGCACCCTGATAGCGCCTTAGAAGATTCCAGAGACCTATCCCTACAAGAATTTCCACCATGTCAAGAACAATTCAGTATATAATGCCAGCATAAAATGAGAGAATAAAGTACCTAGCAATGCCACTCAAACTTTCCTTTTTTTCGGTGGGCAGGCCGCATTCCAGGGCAGTCAGGCTAGGAGTGAAACGAGGTCCACATTCCTATGTTATAACGAACAATTTAGGAGGTGTTTGGTTCCGGATTGGTAACGCGAACGTAAACGTAATGAGTGCCTCACCGGCGTCGTTGACATGCTTCGAGAGCTCATTTTGCTATTGGACACAATAGGACAAATCATTTTGGCACAATGTAGGCAAGCATATAGATATAACGGTAACTTACCACAAAGCGGATAGTTGGCGCCGATTCATACCGTCTACCATCTCTAATAAGCATGTTGTACTCCATATTGGCCATCCGATCAAAACCTAGATTGGGTTCATGTAATATGTCCCCTGGCTGAAATGCGGGTGCGTTAAGTTGAGTACGTGCAACGGAACGAAACCACGCAAAATAATTGTTGAATGCTTCCGTGTCAAAAGGCCGTGGGGGAGGCTTAGAAGTCGGTTGACGCAACGAAAGCACAATCTCATTGAGCTTGTGCTTGAACTCTTGGATATACATGTCATGCTCTCGATCCCATTTTTTTATACTCTTCTGCTTCATCTTGTCGAGACTGCATAGCATTTGACAATTGCATTTTCTTTAGTATCTTGAAAACAATGGAGAAGTCATTTGAAGTGCTAAGCACTTGCCTATGCAAATGTAGCGAAGTGTCCTTGTACTTCGGCGGGGTCTCTTGAAATAAGCCAAACTGTGTCATAACTCATTGTGGCTGATAAAACTCAACAGCATAATCACAAATCAACAGGCAACGCATCAGCCATAACTGTGCTTCCTGTAGACACTTTGGGTTAAGTTGAAAGTAATAAAACCAGCTCCTCTACCAATATTGCCCTCCGTTCCGTACGGTTCCTAGGTAACCTATAAACAAAGATTAAGAAAAAACTACATTGTTAGTATGATTTTTGGAAAACCGAACAAACCGAAGAGACAAAGCAAGAGGCTACTAAGATAACCTGCTCTGGGGTCATGATGTCAAGCTCGTTGCAGTAGTGCAAATACATGGTCTTTGAACTGCCAACAAAACCTTCAACCTTGTCCCACTTATACGCCCATGTAGGCAACGGTCCGGGTCATGATGATCATCCCACCGGTCGTAACCCTTTGGTGTCGGCCGCCCCACTAGCAAGTGCTCCCAACTCCAGATCGATAATAGAAGGATCGGACCACCGATGTTGGCTTCCTTTGACTCTACGACGTTTCTTGGATTCGCGCCCCTACGGCACGCCTCGTCCAGCTACACACAAACAAGAAATATGTCATTACAAACTAGAGAAAATTTCTACATGGTGAACACAATATTATAAGCAAAACTACTTACCTGACGATACAAATAAGCCAACGCCGTCGTATCCCAACTGAGTCCATGCTCCCACCCAACAAACAGCTTAATCCACATAAAGGAAGCGTTCACACCAGTGCCGTCAGAGAAAAGAGTCTGGCTGACTACATACCACAAGTATGCCCTGGTATACTGTTGCACTGTTTCATCGTCTGCATCAGCCGGGCATTCCCCAAAGTGTTCAGCAATCCAATGATAACTTGCACCGGCGGACTTCCCTTGTACCCCTGGCTCCCTCCCTATGAGTCCAACCATAATCTCACTCCATCCATCAGAATCTGTGCTAAAACAAATAGGCTCTCCTTTGATGGGAAGTCCAGTGATAAGAGAAACATCCTGCAAAATGACAGTCATCTCCCCAGCATAGAAGTGAAAAGTATGTGTCTCAGGGCACCATCGGTCAACGAGTGCCGTGATCGCATAAGGGTTCATCTTCGGCATCGAACGAGGCACGAGTGAGATGAAAGGGAGAAGCCCGGTCTTCCGGATATACTCTGTGTATCGCTCGTCATACTTCATCTTGTCATGAACCGAACCGGACCTCAGGAGAAGCTGATCAAAAACCCTTCCTTCATCTGCCATGAACCGTCCACGATGCAATTGATCATACGATTGATGGATAATAGAAGCCATCCTGCAAATTACAAATGTATATGGTAATCCCCGTTGTCATTTGCAAATATCCGCACTAGTGCAAAAACATACATACATGTGCAAAATTTCTACACTAATTCTTCTTCCATACACCATATATGTGTATATAATTTTCTACAATATCATACACCATATATTTGCACTAATTCTTCCATACACCATATATATGTGCGTGCATATCCTAACCAAATTCATAGCACTCCCATAAAAATCCTATATCATACATATTCTAAGCCATGCATATCCTAAATACACTAATCCCTACATTATCACACCAAAATCCACTATCCATTTCAACAAAAGGATGAACTAGGGTTTCACCCAAATCAATCAAATGGAGAGATTTCAACCAATAGAAAGAGGAGAAAGGGAGGAGAATACCTTGAGGATTCGAAGGGCAACCGGATCCACCGATCTTCGGCTCAGATCCGCAGCTCTTGAGTGAGGAGAGGGAGGGGCGGTTTGAGGGGTACCATGGAGTGGGGAAAGAACAGAGAGAGGAGAGAAAGAACGAACAGAGAGCTGAGGGGCTTGGGCGGCGATGTAGTGAAGGGGTATGGCGCCCCGGGGCGGGGCGTCGTGGTACAGCCCATGGCGCCCTGGGCCGAGGCGTCATGGGCCCAAGGCCAAGCAAACATGGCAGTCAACGCCGACGCGCATGGCGCCTTTGACCGAGGCATTCTGTTATCTAGCATGGCGCCCCAGATACGGGCGTCATGCGGTTAGGGCCATTTTATGAAATATTTTCAAAAGAGGGTCATTTTGTGTTGTACTTTGGTCAAAGGGCCAGTTTGTGATTTTTTTACCACACGCACACACAGTAACACATGTACACACACGTCTTTGCACGCGTGCACACACATGCAGCAGTACGCGCAAACACGTGAAAAATTTAATATAGCTTCACTATATCGTTCTGTATCTACGCATCCTTATATTCTCCCTTGGAGATCCTGCACTAAAAAAACTTAGACATTCAAAATAGATTATGTGAGCTTCATAAGAAAAATCCAACAATTAGAAGTATAATAATTATTACTCCCTCTGTTCTAAATTACTTGTCTTGGATTTGTCTAGATACGGATGTATCTAGACTCATTTTAGTGCTAGATACATCCGTATCTAGACAAATCTAAGACAAATAATTCGGAACGGAGGGAGTAATAAAGACGATAAAAATTCATTGAACAGCACGCGCGCACAAACGTACCACGGAGGGGTAAAAGGGTCTTTTCAAATATCATTTAGGCTTAAAATGAACAAAAATGTCAAATAAGGCATAAAATTTAGACTCGTTGTTACATAAGGAAGAAATTATTTGTCGATGTCAAATAGGACATAAAATTTAAATACAGTGTTAAATAAGGAATTCTCTCAACAAAGAGCGCCGCATAGCTCGTGCGTGAGGAACGAGGAAGGAGGCCGCATATCTCGTGCGATCGCATCTGGTGTGGAGAGGAGATGGCATCGCACCTGGTGTGGAGAGGAGATGGCTGCAACGTAATCTGTTACAGCAGATTTCCAGCGGTATCGGTTTTGTATTAGGCTGGGATTTGATACCATGTTATCGGATTACAGAGCAAGGGAAACAAACACGATTTAGTGGGACCTGTTAACGCTGTAATTCGATTACCTTACAGTAGCGCGAAACAAACACCTCCTTAGGTTTACAGCTAACCATGTAGTCATCGTACAGTGCAGCCATCTTGCTTCAAAAACACACTTTTCATATAATAAAAAGAGAGGATGAAGAAATCTAAACTAATTTGGTGCAGTACTGACTGGTAGACGCATCAATGTCAGCAGTAGTAATATTAACACCAATGTGTGATGCAAAAATTGGCTACAGCTAGTGTCTAATGTCTAATGAAGAGTTTGCAAAAATATTCTCCTGACAAATAGACAGGCCAAAAGCTCAGCGCCCTGGTAGCGCCTCAGAAGATTCCAGAGACGTATTCCTACAAGAATTTCCACCATGTCAAGAACAATTCGGTATATAATGCCAGCATAAAATGAGTGAATAATAAAGTACCTACCAATGCCACTCAAACTTTCCTTTTTTTCCGACGGACAGGCCGCATTCCAGGGCAGTCAGTCTAAGAGTGAAACGAGGTCCACATTCCTATGTTATAATGAACAATTTAGGTTTACAGCTAATGATGTAGTCATCGTACAGTGCAGCCATCTGGCTTCAATTACATTGCGAAAATCTACAGCTAGCTCACTTACTAGTAGGTGACAAGTTACATCAGAAGCTTTCAATTTGACTCCTGGAAAAGTACCAGTATTTCCATCCCTCAATTCTTCTTTCATTTCATACAAGTACCTATTATCAAGACCACGTACTATTATTTCCAGATGCTGAAGTAAGATGGTATGGTAAAATTGCATGTTTCCGAAATGAACTTACCATATAATAAGGAAATGCGCCCATTATTAACTGGAGAACAAACATATATGATTTCCTTCATTAAGGTAGATGTATGTAATCCACTACATAAAATGTATGTAGAAAATGAAATTTTTCAGTTGCTGGTGATAATAAGTCGCTTTGACCCAGTTTCGCACTGCTCATAATTCGACTTATGTCCCTACCATCCTTTTGTCTTGCATTGCATGTCGTTTCATCCTCTGCCCCTGTCCCAATATCTCTAGGCCCAACCACGTTTCCGCCCACCTCAATCTGATGAGAAGGCCAACACTGCCGGCCCCTGTATGTTGCCCCATAATCCCTCTCTTTGATCCACATTTCGGCAAGGTCAGTAGGAGAGCCTATCCTCCCATTTACTCACCCACCAACTGTTCGAGGTAAAGTGTAAAACCATACCCACTCCCATTTTCTTGTATTCCTTAATCTTGCTTCATCGTGTAGTGGGTCAATATAATTTCTAGCCCTCAATGCCATCTCGTACGACCACAGATTAGCATTTACTATGCACACTTGCACAACAGAATTTTGATCCTCGCTGTTCTCAATGCTTGCAAAAGATTCCAAGTAACAACATAGTGTTCAATATGATAGCTGAATATTTGAAGATTTTACAACATACAACATAGCTGAATATTCCAAGCAGCGATTATTAATATGGATGGGATACTTAATTGAGCAGCACAAAAAGTGGGATGAGATCTTGGTAAAAGGAGATGTGAACTTGTTCCTATATTTTGATATGTACTCACCTGTGATTACGGAACAGTATATGCTGTTGCTTCAGTTCAAATGTGAACACTTGCCGTTTATTGAAATCAGCTTGAGGGAAAAGAGACGATATCAACCTGAATAAACAAAAAGGTAAGTAGATGAGTGAAAAAATAATATAAATGACAGGTTAACATCTTGAAGAAAGAAAAAATGTATCATCTCCAATCACCTTTGAAGACGATAGCCAAGATGTGCTTCAAAATTATTAAACACTAACTCTGGCTCACGACTTATTGGCTCCCCATGATTCTGTCATATAAAGAGATAAATCAAACGGGTGAATAGCACTTTGACTACAGAGCACATCAAATTTACTGGCTATAATTAGTGAATAAATCAGCTAGTAGATCAGTAACAGCTGATGAAAATGTTCCTGTCTGCTATAGACTTTTCAGCTTTCTATGAATCTAGAAGATAACCTACAAGGCATGAACCCAAATCCTACTTGATATAATTTAGGCAAAGCTGAAAGTGTGGCAGAAGTAAAACAGCGCATGAATATGTCAGACAGTCAGAGACATATACCAGACTCCAGCAGATATACTATATGAGACTAAACTTTGACAAACATGTTTGATTTGGGGAGGCAAAACTAAAATGTCTGGGAAAAAACAGATACAAGCTAAAAGAACTAGGATGAACAACTGATGCAAACTTGATTGTTCTATTCATTTTCAACTCACTTTAAAGTTCAGAAGGTTAATGCTGTAACAAAATTAAGTATCCCATTCCCTGATGTTCCCCAAATTGCGGTGCTATCTGAAACACTTGATTAAATTCGAATTCCACCTTTTACCTTTTCCACTAGTTATGTTATAATAAACAATAGTATAATGCAATACTGCTCTGCCTTACTACAAAGTACAAACACAACAGTCTCATAGGAAAGGGAGCATACATAATAAGATTATTAACAAAAAGTCGTCCTCCTTCCAGCACATAAATATCAGTATTATGCCCTTCCTTCTAAGAAAGTGGAAAGAATACACCAAATGTTTTCCTAAACTGTATAAAATAAGCAAAATGATGTTCCTATATGCAGCTAACAAGATGAAGATCATCATTAGAACCTACATCAACCAGAAAGTAGCCACCATATTGCTTGCAGTCACTATTACACACATCGTAAGCATAAACAGATATACTCCCTCTGTAAACAAATATAAGAGTGTTTAGATCACTATTTTAGTAATCTAAACGCTCTTATATTTCTTTACGGAGGGAGTATTTATATACCTTTATGTCCTTTCGTGGAGTAAACTCAGAGAGCTCAAGGTGTGCAAGGGGACCATCAGGCAAGTTGATAATTTTTAAGCCATCTGTGACACAAATGTGAAGCCAAGTTGTCACACATTAGAAACAAAAACATCACACAACCAAATGATGAATTCTTACCAGAAAGAGCAACAATAAGTGAAGTAAATTTTCTTTCATTCGCATACTCAACCACCTGAAAAGAAGAATATGATTCAGTGGATAATTAAACTTATCTCACTCGAGTAAATCAATGAAAAGTAACATGCAAACATACTTCATCGAGGCAAACATTCGTCCGATGAATATAGCATGCATCTGGAATGAGTTGCATTAGCTCATGAATAAATGAAGATGAAGGTCCTTGCTGTCACCATATGCAGTGGGAAAAAATGGTAAACAAAAGTAAGTTTAGCAAATAATGATAAGGTTATAAACCAGAATATACTAAGAACAATATGATTTAATAAGGGCATAAACCTTGTCCATAATATACTGGCATGCTGTTATCAGTACTTTTGGTTTTGAGCCATCTTTTAACACAGGAAATTCATCCTTCAAAGCCGACTGCATGCAAAAACAAGCTAAAACTTTGCTGAGCTGTCACACTAGTCTCTGTGAGTGTGTGTGTGTGTGTGTGCGCGTGCTCATGCATGTGGACATAGTGATTTTAGTCACAACAAAACTGGAATGTTTCATAAATGCAGTGTGTAAGGAAATCATACTCCAAACATATTTCGTTGTGCAGCGCGGGTGATAAGCCGGTCCTTCTTTAGTTTACTCCTCCGGATTCTTTTCCCTTTCTTTTTCTTCTCTTTGCCATCGACATTATCGCCCTTTGGCAGCACCTGCATCCGCAACCAAACTGTCAATTCACACAGAGCCTCACACTTGGTTTTCTGCACAGTATGAGGAGAGGATGAATGCCTGTATCTCTGCTTCCGACTTCTCCATGTGCCTGGTTCCTAATGGCTTCGCCCCTCTGCTCTGCCCCTCATCCTCCTCTGGGGATTGCTTCCGCTTCTTCCCTGCCTTGGCGTTTACCACCTCCTCGGGCAGCACCTGCATCCGCAACCAAACTGTCAATTCACACAGAGCCTCACACTTGGTTTTCTGCACAGTAT